AAAAGACTTTATTTATTTATCTTATTCCATAATAACATCGATTTAGTCAAAACAAATTCCATAATCGGTGAAGTCAAAAAATATACGTAAAGCCTATTTATACTAAAAAAAAGCAGATTCAAAATTTCTTATCTAATTTTTGTTTAAAGCATTTTATTTAATATTTATTTATATGAAATATTGGATAGGATTGCTGGATTTGAGTCAATTTTGAAATCGCGTTGTTTGGTATGAGAGGATTATCCGCATCCTATATCTGTCTAAATCATATTATTTTATATTATTTAATTAATTTATTTAATATTAAATTTTTTTATCCATGATATCAGTTTTGTCAAAAAAATTGAACAATCAAACAAATAAAAAAAAAAGGGGATTAATTTACCTTTGACTTGTAAAAAATTTATGGGTGGACGTAAATATTTAACAATGCTGTTTCAAGTTCCTTAAATAATACTATAACTATGATGTTGAAATATAATCTGTTTTATGGGTGACGTAAATATGTTGTTTAAAGGTCCCTAAAATAATTTTTTTAAAAAATTATGCTGTTTAAAGTTCCTTAAATATTAATATATTTAAAGTACACACATGTTGTAATATATTAAAGTCAAAACAATGTTGGAAGGCTTTTGAATTATCTAAGTTAATTAATTTAAATGTTTAATCCCATTAAATCTTCAATCCATAGAATATTTTTAGTAATCCTGTGAGCACGTTGTTTTGTTATTGTAATCAACTTATACACTATTTTACTAATAAATTATTTAATATCTATGTACAAGGATGTCTTTAATAATATATAGTTTTTTTTGTCAGATACTATTTTATTGTATAATTTTCCTGCGTACTATAAAACTTTTATTGAATATTCCCTAAATAAATATATCTCGTGTCTCGCACCGGTCCCGTACTATATTTATTCCGTACATTTTTTATTTATTTATATATATAATTATAAGGCTGGATAAATAACCTTAAAATTGTGCACCCCGTGCATCGCACGGGCTCTGTACTAGTACTTATATAATAAGGTATCCTATTTACCAAATTTAGTAGGTTGAAAAATCAACGTAATTAATACATTGCTATTTCTATCCAGAATTTTATTTAATTATTTTTTTATTTGTTTTATATCCCATAAAATTAGTTTAAGAAAAAAAATACCATAACATTTGATAAGTAAAAAAAAGGAAGTAAAATCTTTACTAAAATAATAAAGGCTTTATTTATTTGTCTTATTCCATATTAACATTGATTTTGTCAAAACAAATCCCATAAAATCGGTGAAGTTAAAATTTGTACGTAAAGTCTATCTATACTAAAAAAAATGCAGATTCGAAATTCCTTATCTAATTCCTTCTTTTCCTTATCTAATTCCTTCTTATTATCTACTTGTATGCAATTTGTTCTGATTTTGTTCAATCCTCTAATTGTATTATATCCCATAAAATCGATTTAACAAAAAACCCTCATAACATCTGACAAGTAAAAAAAATACGTAAAGTCTTTACTAAAATGAAAAAGACTTTATTTATTATCTAATTGTATGGAAATCTGTTCTGATTTCTGTGTATTCAGATTCAGATTTTCTAATAAAAATATTAACAACAATATATATCTACTCTACCCATTATAAATTACAAATCTCAAAATATCGAGCCATCACTTTCCTCACTGTCAACCTCATGCGAACAAAAAATATCTCCAACCAGTCTTTTATTCAAAACAATGAATCAAGGATTTGGGTTAATCAAACAAGTCAATAGGTCTAATAGACCTATGCTCAAAGTTCGAATTGTGAGAATATTTTTCTAAGACTGGGGCAGCACATACAAATCATATCTCGAGTTGGTTCTGCATGATAAAACTGTAAACCAAATTATTTGAATTTTTGTTTTAATTTCGAAATTTGAAACGTATATTTTATTTTTTTTTATTTTCGTGTATGTATTTAGATATTTTTGTACATGTTTAGTGAAATATATTTTCGATTATTTTTTAAATTATATTTTCAAATTTGTAATTTGACTTATTTATTCTACATATCGTGTATGTATATATTTACATTATTTATATTTATTTTCGTGTATGGTAAAACTTTTATTGAATATTGCATCTTATAGTATAATAATCCCCAAATAAATATATCACATGCTTCGCACAGGTCACATACTATATATATCTCGTACATTTTTCTTTATTCATTTATATAATTATAAGGCTGGATAAATGACCTTAAAATTGTGCACCCCGTGCATCGCACGGGCTCTATACTAGTTTTAACGAAAATATGAGAACAAAATAATGTAATTAATATTAAAAAATAAAAAAAAAAAAGAAAAATTATTGCCGAGCCCGCCTAGACGCCGCCTAGGCCGATTTTTAGAACAGTGATTAAAACTATTGTTTGAACTTACGAGCACAATTGTCGTGTCAAATCCCTTCGCGCCCTTCAACACATATATCTCGAAGTGTCAAGGCGTTGACGCGGGTATTAGCAAACTATCGCTAGAAATCAATGCATCGACACTGGTTTGGAAGCAAACAAAGGTATGAAGATCGTGTCACGCGCCCATGACACCCATCACGATAGCGACAATTTGAATTGAATCTTATTGGTGGAACTTATGTTACATTTTGTAATATTTTTAGGTATGGGTTAATAAAAAATTATTATATGCTATTTATTTTAATTACATTTTGAAAAAAAATAAAAAACTTAGATCAGATTAAAAACAACATTTTTTTTTAAAAAAAAATATTAAGTGATTTTAAATTTGTAAATAAAGTCAGCCGTAACTGAACTAATTGAAAATAGAATGCCTGATTTTGTGTGATTTGAATCCCAAGTAATACCAAAAAGAATCTTAAATTGCTACAAGTCATTATCACATCCGTGAGAGATGCTCCAATTAAAGTTTAAACAACATTTCTAAAACTGGTAAGTCAAAGGTTTGACCCGAATTTTTTAACTTTCTATTTTTGATTTTTCCATCAACCTCTTTCAATATAAACTAGTGAGAATCCCGTGCGATGCACGGGGATTTCGTAACTTAAAATTTTTTGCAAAACTTTATTTTAATAATGTATTAGCCCGTTGATCCGTTTATATTAATATAAATAACATTTTAACACATATATTTATTTTTTAACATAAAATAATAATAGTTTTACATATTTAGGTTTATCATAATACTCAAATATTATTTTATTAAAAATTTATTGTCGTATAGTGTCAATTTTATTTATAACATAATAGATTTTTATGTGGTTTATTACCTTAATAAATCAGGCACAATTACCTAAATTGTAACTTTAAACATACCATAAAGTGTTTAAATAGTTTCCACAATTACCAAACAACATTTTTTACGGAAAATAGTTATTATTTAAAAAATAATTATATATATAGATAGATATTAATATTAACAACTTGAGAGAATATAAAAATAAAAGAAAAAAAAAAAATTCACAATGGCACGTGAGAAGGGCTCCCGGCCAGCCAATGGCTACCTATCATCAAAACAGTTGTCCCACTCTTCCATGGAAGACAACAAAATATCCGCCATTCCCTGTGAACCTCAATCGCCGGACTTAATTTTCATTGTTTTCCCCCTCTTTTGCTGCTAATCCTTTTCATGCGCCACAATTCCGACATCCGAATCAAAACAAACCCCTTCTTGTTTCACCTCTTTTCTTGCTTGAATCTCTCTCCGTTCCGGTCAACGACTCGCCGTCGCAGGTGGGTTTCATCGAGCTCATCGTTCTTTCCATAGAGTAATTATTGTCGAGCTACAATTGTATATCCTAGTAATTATTGTGAACCCTGAGGAGGGGTCCTCGGAATTCGCAAATTTAGTTGCCTGAAACTTCTTGGTTTTTTCGATTATCTGAAAATCCCTCAAATATCTTTGCTCTTTTGGCAGCCCCGACCCGGGTCTAGCTGATTGGAGCTCTAGGGTTCCTCTTATTCAAACTAAAGGGGATAGTTTTCTGTACTTTGGGTTCACTTGATCTGTATGGGTAGTGGGTTGGTGCAAAGGGGTCTGGATTATAGCAATAGGAAGAGGAGATGGATAGTTTTGCTGGGGTTGGTCGGATTTTCCACATACGGTGTGTACAAAGTGTATCACTTCCCTTCTGTGGCCAGAAAGAGAAGGAGATTGTTGAAGCTGTTTGGATCCCTTGTCTCGATTGTCGAAATGGTTTCTGAATCATGTGAGACAATTTCGATCGTGTCGAGGGATCTGAAGGGGTTTGTCGAGTCGGATTCAGACGAAATCCCCAATAGTTTAAGGCAACTTTCGAAAATTGCCCGGTCTGAGGAGTTCTCTGAATCGGTGGCTCGTGTTTGCCAATCTTTGACGGTCGGCGTTTTAAGGGGTTACAAGGAGACTAACCGGGCTGAGATCCAAGAAATCAAGGGTCCGGGTTTATTGGATAGGGTTATGGATAAATTGATGTCAAGTGCAGACACAGGTTTTGCCTCAATCGTAGTTGGTAGTTTTGCAAGAAATTTGGTTTTGGGGTTTTATGCAAGTCACGGCGGGCTATGCGAAGATGGCCGCTCGGGCGGGTCTCACGAGATGTCGAGCTCCTCTGCATTGCCCGCATGGGTGAGTGTGGTTTCGGATGATAAGTGCAGAATCTTGGTGGCCGATTGCATAAAGACCTTCGTTAGCACAGCCGTTGCAGTCTATCTCGACAAGACCATGGATGTCAACTTTTATGACGAGATGTTTTCGGGCCTCACCAATCCCAAACATCAGAATAAAGTGACCGACGTTTTGGTCTCTCTGTGTAATGGGGCTGTCGAGACTCTCGTGAAGACGTCGCACCATGTGCTGACCTCATCGAAATCGAATGACTCTTACTCGTGCGAGATATCGAAATTGAGTAACAGGAAAGATGCCGAGGTGGAGGCCCGTTTCACGAAAGACACGAACGATCATCTTCAGAGCCATGGTTGGGTCAGTAGTGTCTCGTCAACGCTGGCGGTGCCGAGGAACCGAAAGTTTGTGCTCGACGTGACGGGAAGAGTTACGTTCGAGACAGTTAGGTCGGTTGTCGAGTTTTTCCTTTGGAAAATGTCAGAAGGGTTGAAGAGGAGTGTGAACGTTGTTCATAGGGAAGTTGTCGAGAGGGGATATGAGGTTGTCAAATATGTTGGATACAGGTCGTCCGTTATTCTTACTGTGTGCCTGGCGTTGTTTTTACATGTCATAGGAAATACTGGTGAGTTGTTGCCTGCATGAATGCGATTGATGTTTAAGGCGAAATGCCGTGCTAGATTTTTGTGTTTACATTTTTTTTGCTTTCGAAAGAAAGTAAATTTATTGTATTGAAAATGCAGTTTACGTGCTTGATTTGAGCTTGAAGCTCGAATATATGTAGTGTGACGTGAAGTTTCTGTACGAATTCTTGGCCCCCTTTTGGGAGTAGCTGCTGATCATCAGACTATTTGGGTGCAGAGAGAAGGAAAATGCAGTTGGATTCTTTGATGTCCTTGATGCTTGATGCTCAAAAATTGATGTAAACTCAGTTAAAAGTACACTTTACATTTATATGCATTCGAATATTACTGACATTCAGTAATATGTGTGCTGTGCTCATCGTGAATTTGCTTCTTGTTCATCATTATTCACTGCTGGTAGACATGGCCAAGCGCCGCCCCGGCCCGCTGACCCAGTCAATCCTGTTGACCACGGGTTAAGGACCGGACCGGACCGGATTATTGACGGACGTTTCAGGGTCATTCATTTCATGACCCGGCCCGACGGGTCCAGACTGGGCCGGGTTGATTGCCTGATTTTTTCTTTTCTTTTTTTTTTTTTAAAAAAAATATTCTATTGTTTTTAAAAAAATGACGGACCCGGCTTGGTCAACCGGGCCATTGACCCAGCACGGGTCATTGTTTTCGACGTGGGCCGGGCCATGACCCAGTCTGGGTTTTTGCCATGTCTAACTGCTAGTGTTTATTTCCCTTTTTATTTTTCCATTCTCCCCCACAATTTGCTTTAAAAAATAACCTTATAAAATGGCTTAATGGACCCATAATTATAAAGTAAACACATTCCCATTTTTTGTTCTGAGTGCAAAAAACATCATCATTTTTTATTGTCTTCTAAAGTGCTTTGTGTTATTATCACTGACCAGAATTTACTTTGTTAGATTTTTCATTTACTTATTTTATGATCTTTAGTGCAAGTAAATTAAATAGATTTTCGGTCTTGGCAAAACATGGTTCAAATTAATAGACTTGTCTAAATAATATAGACTTATTTAAAATTAAGAACATACTCCTTTTCTTTTAATCTCTATTTTCTTTTATTTCTTTTTTTTTCCTTATTGACACGAGTGGATGTCGGCTATGTTTGTCAGACAAATAAGCTAGCTTATAGCTTATTTGATTAACTTATAAGCTCCCTGTATTCAAATAAACCTTGTTTGGTAGGACGAGCTTTTTTAAAAAGGTCGAGCTTATTTTGATAGGTTTCTTTAAATAGTTTTACTAAACACTTTTATCATATAAGCTAACTTTTCAGATATAAGTCTTAATAAGTTCGAAAATTACTGATAAGCTATAAGCTAGCTATCAGCTAGTTTTACCAAACATAACCATAATAAATCTTGAATTTTTTACACAATAATATGCAACTAATTAGGTAAATTTCTTGACATATCAAGTGTGTCAAAGACAAAATATTTCGAAAACTATATATTTCTAAAGTGAGGGACATATATATGTCCAAGATCTAAATTCATGTGATCTCATAAAAGATACAAATTATTGTGTGAGACGGTGTAACAGCGAGGTGGGTCAATCCGTCTTATGAAGAAAAATATATTAAAATGATCTAAATACTATGAAATATTAAAATTCTATTCTTATTATCTTTCAAAGTATGATATTTTAATTTAAAGGTATATATATTTGTGAAAAAATAAGATTATTTATCTGTTTACCTAATAAAAACTCTTAAAAATAAATAGCATTATTTCCTCATTCTTCAAATGAAATTATTAAAAACGGCTTTGTTTTCATCCCATATTTATGTACTCAAATCTAAATTTTCACAATCAGTAAACATAACCTGGTTTATAAGGGCATACAATAATTAATAAAACCAGATCCAACACAAATAAACTTTAATTTCTAATATACACTCAATAGTCAATAATATAAAAATACAAACAAAAAAAAAAAAAAAACATAGATATTATTTTAACTTGCATACTCAAATTATGTTCATATAACACCACAATTCAACTCGGCACTTGTAATAACTTATGTTTAATAATAATAATAATAATAATAATAATAATAATAATAATAATAATATAATCAATCCTCAACAAAGGCTTTATTTCTTTTACCTTTGCCTAATCTTCTTCGCCTTAGACCACCATCATGGCCATGATCACCTCCGAAATTTCCATCGTCGAGAATCAGAGGCACGTCGTTGGCTTCTTCTCCGAAATCATCTCCGGCAGTCGAAATACGAATGCAAGAGCATCTCTCGAGCGACGCGAAAAACGCGCCCGTCAAGCCGTTCACAAGCCACGTGGCGATGCAGTCGAGTTTGGTCGGCTGCCGGACTCTTGAGCTGCCGGAGAAAGTGGCTGCCATGATTTTTGGGGGAGTGTTGTGTAATGGTGGTATAATTTGAGTGACTAATATGTAAATTGCAAGGTCTTGATGGATAATGATTAAAGGGTTGGTTTAATTAACGAAATCAGGATCAAAAGTTTTTAATTTAATGATGATGATGGATTTGTAAAGCAGCACGCGTGATGTCGTTAGCGTGAAAGTACTGATATGCCCTCAGATCATTTCATATTCAAATATCACTAGTACAACACCCGTTACACGGGTGTTGTTAAAAAATTATTCTTAAATTTTAAAATTAATGAGAAAACTATATTAAATTTAATTTACTTTTTTTTAAAAAAAATATATTACTATATATTTTAGAATGATATGTGTTACTTGTTGACATCCGGATCGGTCAGGCCAAGACCGAGTAGGTCGGCCCCCCCCCGAACCGAACGGGATCGAACTCGCGGGGGCCGACCCGAATCGATAAATTATGTGTAGGACGGGTCGAAGGAAACGCTTCCCGAGCTCGGCACCTGAATCCGTGGGGGCCGAGCCGGTCTCTCCCCGGGGCCGAGCTGGAAAGAAGTTCGCCTGGGACACGCGTGCTTTCGAAGAGAAAGAGCCGACCTTAACAGGCC